CCAAAGTCAGAGAAGCTGCCCTGTGAGCAAGCAACTCGACTGCAGCCCCAGCTCCCCTCTGCCCCCTCCGCCCCAACCCACACCCAAGGGCTAAGCAGGAGACAGCAGGAAAAGGGAAAGGGCATGCCAGTGCTGAGACGTCAGAGATTCCTGGAGCCTTCCAACTGGGAAGGCAAGTCTCTGGGAACCGCCTAGCCCTTGCCAAGGTTGCTCTACAGTGATTCCAATGCATCTCCCTCCACTGGCACCCCCATGTAATAACTGTGGACTGGGATACAAATCCTTAAAGGAGCCCACATGATTTAGAAGTGGCAGAAGATTTCCAATATTAATTTTAAACCTTTACCACAGTCCTACAAGGGGAAGGCCTCCCTGGGCAGGGACACGTGGTTAATGTGCTTGGCTGCTAACTGAAAGGTTAGGGACTTGAATCCACCTCTGGGTGGGCACCTTGAGAGGAAGGTCTGATAATCTACATCTGAAAAATTCGGCCACTGACGACGTTCCTGCTCGGAGCAGCTTGTTCACAGAGAGGACTGCAGGGCCGGCCTCTGCTCGAGACATGCCATGCCCTCCCTAGATGACAATGCTACAGAGGACAGCACTAAAGATACAGTCTGGAGAGTGCAGCCGGTCTGACCCGGCCACAGGGGCAAACCAAGAGGGCAGTGCAACAGACCAGCAATGGGGGCAAAGCCAGAAAGTCCCTGAGGAATAACGACTATAGACTTCTGACAGGGGGGCAGCGCTTGGTACCTCATCTGAACGGGTTGGGGGATAGTCACTGAAAGTCTAAAGGAGTAACAGGGTCGGGGTGGGGGGGGTTGGTGAGCACTAGACCCCTCCATCCCTGACTGCAGGAAGAGCAATGGGTCTTGTAGAAGGCAGGGTCCTCGGTCACCAAGGCTGAGGTCTAAAAGGGTGTATGTGCAATTAGGTCAGTGGGTCCTGGGATATATGGAACCCTGAACGAAAAGGGGATTGGGCTGATGGATTATAACAGGGTCTTCTCTAGTTAACAGAGAGCTACCCATCTACTCTGGGTTAGGACAACAGTTAGATTTGGAACTATTTGTATGGTCTCTCTCTATTTTCTTTTTCTTTTGGTGGCTAGCTATATAAGATAGGCAGGATAAGTAATCCCAAGGAGACAGCAACAGGACCCACGGTTGGCAGGGGAGGGGGGGAGGGGGGGAAAGGGTAGCCGTGAGCCAATAACAACAGGGACATGGGCATAGCAAGGGATCTAAAATTGAGAGTGAGGAGTGTAGTATTCCTGGTCATGTTTGATCAATTGAAATGTATCCGAGAGGAACTGCTGAGAGGTGAACAATGGGTAAACGTGATAGTGGAGCAGGAGGAAAGAAAAAGAGGAAAGAGCAAGAAAATAAAAATTACATATATAGGTATAAAAATAGATATGTATATATGTAAATTTGATCAATTTATAAAGATGGGTGTATTTGTCTATGCAAATATATAAATAGGTAAATACAACAAGGAAGCAGATGGACTTTGGGCCTCCACTTAAATCTTACTCAGTACAAGAACGGTCTGTTCTAACAATGTGGCATTGTATGATACTCACCTCCCTGACACAATCACTGAAGACAAAATGGGTGCGTAAGCAAATGTGGTGAAGAAAGCTGATGGTGTAATCATGAGGGGCCGACGGGATTAGGTGTCAGAAGTTCAAAAACAAGCAGTCAAATTGACGTGAAGGAGCATAAACAAAGTGGAGACCCCAAACCCACCTGCAAGATAATTGGACATCCTCACAGAAGGGCCACAGGGAAGGGATGACATATCCAGGGTTCAATATAGCACTGATGAAACACATAACTATCCTCTAGTTCTTTAATATTTCCTCCTCTTATTATTATGGTTTTAGTTTTACCTCACTGATCTTGTCAGACTTGTATATGATCATTTGGACAATCAAGATGTATGAAATCCAAGATACACACACCCCTCAGATACAGTAACAGGAGTAATGATTCCCTGAGTAACGGTATGGAAAGAGAGGGTCGTGGGGGGAGAGGGGAAACTGATAGCAATGATGACTGCATAACCCCACTCAAGGGGAATGAATTACAGAATTGCAGGTGAATGGATACATTGGATGGTGTAAGATACAGCAAATAACAATAATGATATGTAATATAACAACAAGAGTTCCTGGGGGATAGGGGAGGGGAGGGGAGGACAGGAATAAAGGGGAGCTGATATCAAAGAGTTCAAGAAGAACTTTTGAAACTGATGGTGGCAGCAACTGTACAATTAAGCTTGATCTAACTAAATTATGGATTGTTATAATATCTGTAAGAACTCCCAATAAAATGACTTTTATATATATATATATCGGCCACTGAAACCCTACTACAGAGTACAATTTGACTCTGGTCACCGTAAGCTGGAGTCAGCTCAATGGTGTGATTTTTTTTTTTTAAAAGATAAGACAACAGACACAAAGAGAAAAAGGTTGCAGTGCCCCGTGTTACAGAAGGAATTGTGAGCCCCCAAGTTCGTGCCATAAATCCTAACCCTGGTGGCATAGTGGGCTCCCCTGTGAACTGCTAACCACAAGGTCAGCAGTTGGAGACCCCAGCTGTTCCTCAGAGAAAGACGAGATGCCTGGGAAACCCACCGGAGTAGCACTTCCACGCAATGGCAGTGAACTTGGCCTGAGGATTACTCTATCTGTGGTTAGAGACTGTTTTCTTTGTTATGTGAATGAGACAGGATTCCAGTCGGGAGTGTCTTGAGACCACCTCTTTTGACATATGAAAGAATTAAACACACTGGCAGGAAGAGCAGAGACAGGAGGGGAGCTGCCGCCACATGAAGAGAGCCGGGGAGCAGAAGCTCAGAAGCACAAAGACGTTGCTCCCGGACAAAAAAAGCCTTCCTCGAGAGCTGGAATTCAGACTCTGAGCTTCCGAAACTGTGAGAACCTAAATTTCCGTGGAAGTCGCCCATTGCTGTATTTCCGTTATGGCAACACTAGATGACTAAGACACCAGGGAGTTCCAGCTAAAACCAGTGAAAACCAAATGTCTGCTCCCTGAGAATCCATGCTCCCATGACAGATACAACAACAACAGAAGCCCAGGTCAATTTTGAGTCCTGGTGGCCACGCAGGACAAGGTAGAATCACCCTGTGGGTTGCCGAGCCTGCACCTCTTTAGTAGAAAAAAGCCTCATCTTTCTCCCTCGGAGTGACTGGTGGTTTCAAACTGCCAACTTCGAGGTGGCTGGCCCAATGCATAACTGCTATGACACCGGGGCTCATAGACTAGCTGGAGGCACTTCAAAAGAACAGAGGTCTCTGTGTCCACAGCACCTTGATACACTCTCTCCTCTCTCTCATTTTCCATCTTCAGTTCTCTAAAAGGAATTACTAAAAATGGTATTTGTTCTAAAAGGAGAAAAAAAGGTAATAAAGCCTTTTCTTGTGCCAGCTGATTCCTTGGTGTACCAGGGTGCAGCCAGGCCTCCGCCCACCTGGTCTGCCCACAGATGAGTTCTGATCTCCTCTCCACCCTGTGCTAAAACACAATTTAGGCTTCCAGTCTAGCCTCCCGGTCATTCTTGCTGGGATCATCTGGTTGGAGGGCCTAATACCAGGCTCAGGCTAAACATCTAGCAGAGGGGAGGAGAGGAATAGCATGGGGGGCCCTGAAAGGGGTAAGCACAGCCCATCTGAGGTAACAGAGGAGATACTTGGGAGGTCCCGGCCCCTTCCTTTCTGGTGCACACAGCCTTTACCTGTAATGGGCCTGTCTCTGGTCTTCACCATCTACTTCTCCCATTGATTCTTCACCTCTTCTTTGCCAGTTCCCTTACATACTCCTCCACCCCCACCCGAGTCTGGCCACAGGCTGGTCTTCCTCCAGGAAGGGAATCGGGTCAACTTTTGTGTTCCCAGTGTCAGGCTCTGCGTCCCACTCTCTCTGGACTGTGCTGTCCCTGGAAACCATGACTCTTGACCTTGTTGTCTCTACCGTCCTGGCTGTCTGCCTCTCCGCTATCACCACCCTCCAAGGGTTGTGTTCAGTGTGTTCAGCTGCTCTTGACCACCACCACCACCCCATCTCCCCTCTGCTTTCTCTCCTTTGAATGGCTCGCCATCCTCATCTTCCTCTCACTACGGACCAGCAAGTAAGCAAGCAACACCCTCTTGCTTACCCAAAGTCAGAGGTAGAAACAAAATCCCTCCCTACGAGGGCCATCCAAGCCCAAGGTAGGATGAAGCTGCCACCTGCCCACATCCTTGCAGTGAACGCTCCCAGATCTCATAGGACAGGGGTGCCTTCTTACAGTAGGATGGGTACCTATAGGAACCAGAGGGAGAACAGGTGCTATGCTGGACACCTTCTTGCCCACCAGCCAGGAAGACACTAACACAAAGTTTCAGATCACTGCAGAGCTGGAGCCAGGACAGTCCCTAGCAGAGGTGGCAGCGAAGACTGGTAAGGAGGGCAAAGCAGATGACTAGAGAGGTAGACATTTTCCCCCACCGACTCCCAGCTTTGAAAGGCATGGAGCATGATCCCAGGAATCCTGCAAGTTTCCCGATGTGCCACAGAGTAGCCTCTGCCCTGTGCCATGAGCCAGGGGCATCTTAAAGTCCATGCTTGTCACCAGCTCCTCCTCTGGAAGTGATGGGAACAAACAGGGGTCCAGAGGTGGGGGTAACAGAGACTCAGTGAAAAGGCCAGGCTGGCCCCACACCAGTTGCATGACCTTGGGTACATCTTTCCCTCTTTCATGCTGGTTTCCCTTCCCCGGACCTGACACGCTGGGGACACTTTGTGGACGGTAACGCTAGAAGTCTGGGCCCCAAGTGTCAGCCCTACCTGCATTCACACTTGCTTCGTGACCTTGACTATGCCCCAAATCCGGGGCCTCAGTTTCCCCACCTGCCCAATATAAAGGACACGACCTCCTCCCACTCCCTGCTCCCAGCAGGTATGTCTTGAGACACGGGTGGCACTTACCGTCCTCCAGAGAAGTGGGCGCTTGACAGGGACCAAGGTGGCGGTGACCAGCAAGTGTGAGGCGGCCACCACGAGCCCAAAACCGATGGCCAGCAGGCTGTGCACAGGCAGCAAAGCATAAGACACGAAAGTAACCAAAAGAAGCTGCCAGACGCCCTGCTGGGCAGCCGCGGGTCCCGGGTCTTGGACACTGATGGGGCCGCCCAGCGCCAGGGGACAGCACAGCAGCGCGAAGGTGAGGCTGAAGAGCAGCGTGAGCTTGCCGATCTGCTGCAGCTGGGGCACTTGCAGGTACTTGACGTGGGTGGCCACCAAGAGCAAGAGGAAGAGAACGCAGTGCACGGGGTGCGAACCCTTGGCCAGGCCGGGCGTGGGGCTGGGGTCGCCCAGCAGCTCGGTCAGCGCCAGCACGCCCGCCAGCAAGCTGAGCACCGCCAGCGCCTTGAGCGTGGCCGCCTGTTCCAGCCGCAGCGTGTAGGTGCGAAACAGCGCCTCCAGCTCGGGGCACGCGAACTCCTCACTGCACGCCCGCAGCCCGCGCCGG